GTATGGAAGAAATTCACAGAGAACACGACAGGAAAATACTTTGATCCTTTGCTCTACATTTTTGCATGCTCTAGAATTTCTTCAAAAAGGCCTCAACAAAAGTCTGGGAGTCAACCCCCCTAATATGTCTTGCCTGTCGGATTCACAGGTATCCAGTGGGCTGTAAATATTATGATTATACAGTTTATCAAAGTTTGTATCAAGTTTGTATCAAGATTCATCCTCCAAGGAAGAGTTTCTTACCACCTTGGGATATAGCAGTAATGTAGGAAGCGTTGTCAGCAGCACCTCTCATTCTCTGGAATCATTTTCAATCTAGAATCTGACCTTGAAAGAAATTTTTGCTATAGCCTTCATGTCAGAGAGGGACACACAAGGAACCACATCTATGATTCTTTCAGAACCAAGTGGTTCTAAGCCATAATTTGTCGTCCATACATATTCTCTTTGTGATCAATCAAAAAATTGCTCTGCTAACCTTACCAAGTATGTAAAGCTGCAAATTCACTAGATGTGGGAAAAGTTCTTCACTGCTACATTAATAAGACTTCAAATTTAAAGCAAAAGTCTTGGCAAAAACGTTTTTTACATGTCCTTGTTGCTGATTTCCTACCCTCACTGAATATGTCTCCAATCATCTGGTTTACTCAGTAGTTGCTCTGAAATAACCTATTAATTTTCAAATCAAACTGTTAATTCTCTTTGGTTTCCCATTTGTAAGACCAGTGGCTGCTCTGCCTTCTATTCCCCCAGCCACTGATCTTGGCACATCCCTTCTGTAGTTCTTTCTCCAGGAAGTAGTGATGCAATCCAGCCCTACTTGCAGTGGTGGGTGGACCAAGACTCTCAGATATATTCAACATGTATTGGCCTAGTGTACCTGCCCACATTCACTACAATTCCCTGTGACTGATGGGAACTGTAGTTTACTACAGAGAGAGAGAGAGAGAGAGAGAGAGAGAGAGAGAGATGCAATCCCCTGAGGTTATGATGCACCTGCATCTCTTGTTGGCAGAGCATATGATGTTATCTTTTGAATTTCAGAGATGAGGTCATGAAAAATTAAATTAGACTTTTCTCCTAAATGGTAAGGATTTTAAAATGTTATTCTTCTGAATTAACTGTGGGTTTAGGATTTGTTTTATTTTGTACATGTTTTACATTTTATTAGAGATGTCTTTTTTCAATCTATGAAACCCAAGTGAAAATGAAAACGTGTATTCATTTGCTGTGATTTTTTTGTTTTACTATAAATGTAACATTTATCAATAAATGAATTACAAAAAAATTTTATTCGGCTAATGCATAGCTGACAAAAAAAATCATTCAACTTCAATCATGTTTTTTGATTGACTCCATTGTTTGCTATCTTTTCCTTGCAGGCATGCTGACTCACACACACTTGCTGCACTTGCTGTGATTGTGATTGTGAATGATTGTTTAGGAAGTCACACCTTCCTTCAGAATCTGTCCTCCTACTCTGTACATTGTCCTATCGAATGCATTGGTGAAGACGTGCCTTCTGACACTAAACTATATATGTGACTTGATATTCTGTATATAGAGATTAGTAGAGTACACTTCCAGCATGGCGTCCTCTATATTTGGATTGCCTTCGCTGAGTTTCTCTGATTTTTTTTCATTGGGTTGCCTGGCTGTGTGTCCTCTATCTCCTATATACGGCATATATTCATTGCATCTGAGGAGGAAGCAGTTGCTAAAAAGTTTCCGTTCTTTTCAAGGTCCTGAAACACACTGGTTCTATGGAAATGCTCATGTGGTAAGGCACTGTTATGTTCATCTTGGCAATAATTACAGATCAACTCAACATCAGAATTTTATCAAATGTCTTTATATTTTTTAGCTCTGCAAGTTTTTAATGTTATTTTTTCATTATTATTATTTTTTTTTTAATCTTCCAGCTTTGTATCACAGTACAGCTGTATCAGCACCCTCCACCGTCCTATGAGCTGCCTCCAGCACTGCATCTATTAGGGCTCATGTACACGGGGCGTTTTAAAAACTTTTCTGAACCGCTGGAAACTGACTGCTAAAAAACATAGGTTAAAAACGTCAGTTTAGCTGCGTTTACGTTTAGAAGCGTTTTTAAAAGATAACCTCAGGAGACCTTCTCAAATGCCCAGAATGCACTGAAAAATAGTAAATAATTAACTATTTCAGATATTTTGTGAGAAATAGAGAGAGCAGAAGCAGAGAGAGAAGTATGTGTTGAGATGACCTGTCTTTTCAGGTTGTATTCACTATGGATCCCATCATGAGTTTAATGTGCACATTCTACCATTTTTTTTGCACGCAAAACCTGGAATTGACTGCGCTGGTGTACCGGGTCCATTTGAATACATGGAAAACGTTTTGTATGCATTTCTGATTATGAAAAAAAGGCTCTGGACAGCATCTGGATATGAACCAGCCCAAAAACGCGTCTAAACACAAACGCACATAAACGCATTTACAAGCGTTTGGTGTTTGAAACGCCGGTAAACTCTACTCCTGAATGCGATTTTTGTGCTTTCAAAAAAATTCCTGTAAACTACTGTAAATGACTATGTGTACATGGATACATAGGAAAACATAAAGGAGAGTTCAGGGGATGCTGAAAAAAAAAATGCACAACTGCTCCTAAACTTCAGTTTAGCAGCTGCAGTGTACATGAGCCCTTACTGATACCAGCACTGGTGTTGCTTTTTCAGTTTGCCTATTCAGAATGATATAAAGCTGCTGGCTTTTTCTTGTAGTTTGAAAGAAAAAAGTGCAGAGCTCAAAAATGTTAAATTTTCATTTGCTCTTTTCCTCTTCTTTCTATTGTAAGCATAGGTGAACCAGGAAAAAAAACATTAGGATCAGGGCTTTTTATCAGCGGGAAATGGGGGAACGCAGTTCCGGCACCTCCAGCACTCCAGAACTGAATGTATGTAATGGCAAGGGAGGCTGGGGGATCTATTGTCATTGGAGGGGATTTATTTTTGCATGTTGGTCTATTGCATCTGTGGAGGGCAATTGTTGCCAGAAGGGATCTACTGTTCAGGGAGGGTTCTATTTTTGCTTGCTGATTGGGGATCTGTTGTTACTGTCGGGGATCTATTGTTGCTGGGGTGGGATTTTGCTGTGGGGGTCCATTGTTGCTTGGGGAATCTATTGTTGCTGGGGGGGGTATTGTTGCTGGCTGCAGGGGGTCTATTTTATTGCTTTTCTTTTTATTGTTAACAAATTCCACACAAAATAATACTTGGCTTTGTATTCTCTAAAAGGAGCGGTTACTGGAGGTGGGTAGGGGGTGAAACCAAGGGATGGTGCTTGAAGGTGGGTAGGGGGTGGAACCAAGGGAGGTGCTTGAAGGTGGGTAGGGGGTGGAACCAAGGGACGGTGCTTGAAGGTGGGTAGGGGTGAACCAAGGGACGGTGCTTGAAGGTGGGTAGGGGGTGGAACCAAGGGATGGTGCTTGAAGGTGGGGCGGAACCAAGGGATTGGTGCTTGAGGGTAGGGGGTGGAAACCAAGGGACGGTGCTTGAAGGTGGGTAGGGGGTGGAACAAGGGACGGTGACTCAGAAGGTGGGGGGGGGGTGGAACCTAGGGACCTATTCTCTAAGAAGGTGGGTAGGGGATGGAATCCCCCCCGCCAGCTTTATAAGGTGGGGGCCCATAACCCAGCTCTGTGCATGACAGCAGTGGAATGGAATCAAGGGACGGTGCTTGAAGGTGGGTAGGGGGTGGCACCAGAAGGACAGTGCTTGAAGGGGAATAGGGAAAACCAAGGGGGAGCATCTGAAGGTGGGTATGAATGCAGAAGGTGGGTAGGGGGAGCGAACCCGTTAGGGACAGTGCCCCATGGGTGGGCACTAGGGGGTGGAAAAAGAAGAGGATCGGCTGCTTTTGCAAAACAAGCAGGTAAGTATGACGGTGCTTGAAGGTGGGTAAAACAAGGGACAGTTTTAATTGAAGGTGGGTAGGGGTGGAAACAAGGGTGAATCAGAAGGGGGGGGGGGAGTTGAGTTTACTGAACACCTAAAGAAGAAAAAATTCCCCCCCGCCAGCCTCCCCATTATATTTACCTGAGCCCCATTGCAAAATGTAAGCTCTGTGCATGACAGCAGTTTGGCTCTCCCAGCTCTGTCCCTTTTTCAAGCGACCACCTCATATGGGCAGACCAATAGCAGCAGACCATAGGCATTTATGAGGGAATAGGGGTGGGGCCATGCCCCAGTAATCTGTGTCTATGGATGCAAGCAGTGGGCTCAGGAGCGAATCAGACCTGTATAAGTGTCCCCATGGCGGCACTCACTAAAGAGGAGGATCAGGGCTGCTCTTTGCAAAACCAGAGCAGGTAAGTATGACATGTTTACTAATTTAATTTTTTTTTTTTAAATTAAAATAATTAAAGTGTTACTGAACCACAACAACAATAAAATCAGTCTGTATTTGCAGTAAAGCATGCTTGTTATATTCACTGTGAAATGTAAGGGGTTAATCCTCATGCATTGTGTTAAAAACGCTGTTTGATCCTTTCTTCTCTGTTTTTCCCCGTTTTTCAAGCGACCACCTCATATCTCTACTGATTGTCCACTGACAGACTGAACCATAGGCATTTGCACATGTTCAGTGTGGTGTGTGTTGCTAGAGAGGTAATTTTTTTGTCTTAGGGAGAGTGCATGTGATCAGCACAGGGCCAATCAGCACTGTCCAGACAGAGGTCAGGGGTTCTACACATTCCTCCTAGAGCAGAAAGAAAACTTATTTTACAAGCTTTAGCTAGATCTCTGCTGGACACTGATAGAAGTCACAAGACTGCTATATACTGCTGATGAGAAAAGGTATTTAGCAGTTTGTCACCAGTCATGCCAAAGAACTGCTGTCACTCAACCCATGCCTCATAACTATAACAGCATTTCCATGTTGTGTACTATAAAAATTGCATTTCCATGTTGTGTGTACTGTGGGAGACCGGATATAGTGAATGCAGGGTCCTGGGTTTAGTAACACTTTAACCACTTCTGTCCAGCCCATGTACATAAACAGCTGAACAGGAGAAGTGCAGGAGTGGGTTGCCGTTCATAAACGGCATCCACATTTTCAGCCTGTGTGCGCAGCACCACAATCCAGTACCTACTGTGTCCGGAGGGACACAGCGGAACACCGATCGTTCTACGGGACCTCTATGTACCGGTCCCATCCATGTCATCACTGATTGTCCACTGCTGGTACACTGCCATGTACTGCTGTCACCACCCATGTACACATACACTGCCATGTACTGCTGTCACCACTCCTACATATACACTACCATGTACTACTGTCACCACCCATGCATACATGTACTGCTGTCACCATCCATGCACATACACTGCCATGTACTGCTGTCACCATCCCATGCACATACACTGCCATGTACTGCTGTCACCACTCCTACGTATACACTGCCATGTACTGCTATCACCACCAAATACACATACACCTCCGCATTCACTGCCTGTGCGCGCTCCCTGGGATCTAGTGCCTGCTGTGTCCGATTGCTGTACAGGACCTCTGTGTGAGGTCCTGGTTCATGTGATCACTGATTGGCCAATCAGTGATCACAGGGACAGTAGTAAACAAGATGTCTCTTCTGACATCATTGCTTACTACGTGTGAAATCTGTGAATGATCACAGAAATAACATGGTACAAGGCTATTCACAACAGCCTTGTACCATGTGACAAGCTGTGTCCAATCACAGCTCTCACAGTATTTCTCAATGGCTGCAGGAATGCAGCCCGAGAGGAGAAATGATTGCTTTTACAGCCTTTATGGGTGTAAAAGCAATCAGTGTAAAAAAAGAAAAAAAATCTTCATCACCCCCCACAAGTAGTACAGTGTCACTATGGTGATACTGTACTGCTAGGGTGACGGTATGTTAAAAAAAAAAACCCATAAATAATAATAATAAAAAAATACAATAAAAATGTAAAAACATTTTTTGAAAAATTATAATGTTTGGTTATAAACTAGAAAGATAGATGAATACATTTTGGCCAAGATTTATGAAGAAAGATTATTTATTTGCAAAATTTAGTAAGAAAAACACTTTTTTTTTCAAAATGTTTGGACATTTTAATTTTTATAGCAAAAAAAAATAAAAATCCCAGTGGTGAATAAATACCACCAAAATAAAGTTTTATCTGTCTCAAAAAATGCAAAAAAAATTCATATGGGTACAGCGTTGCATGACTGCGCAATTGTCATTCAAAGTGTGATAGCACTGAAAGCTGAAAATTGGCCTGGGCAGGGAGGGGGTGAAAGTGTCCGGACATGAAGTGGTTAAAGAAGGCAACAGCTGTTGAAGTAGCCTGCGTGTAGCCCTCCAGTAAACAAAATGTCTCTGGGCGTCAGCTTCAGTGTGTATATGTATGTATGTGTGTATGAATGTCTGTCTGTCTGTCACGTGAGCCGGTTTCTTATATACTTTTCAAAGAATCAATGAAGACATCCCACTCTACAGTTATTTCCTATTTCAGTCTGAGCTAAATGTGTAATAGCCATACTAGTAATTGTTCTAAACATATGTATAGTTCTTAGCTGACGTTATCTAAAAAATACTTTGATTGACAGAAACATATAATAGTGCTTAGACTGCTATATGATCTTTCCATACTAAAGGATCACATAACTACATTCTTCTTAAAACTGGTTCAACCTTCAGTTCAGTCAAGGACAGAAAACACATAAATGCACAGACATAACCAACTATAATTGAGAATATACTATCACACCCTAATTCACTAATTAATTAATTAACTGACTATATTAAATAATTGACTAACTGTATTATAGATTGCAAATGATTCTCATGATAAAAGATATTTTCTTATCTCTTGTGTAACTCTTTACTGCATTCCAGTGTATGTTTTAGTCCAAGAAGTCAGCACAGTGGCTAAAAGGTTAGCACTTCCACCTGGCAGTACTAGGGTTGTTGGTTCGAATCCTAAACATGGCACCACCTGCCTGGAGTTTGCATGTTCTCTCCCTGTGCCTGCGTGGGTTTCCTTCGGGTACTCTGGTTTCCTCCCACACTCCAAAGACATGCTGGTAGGTGAATTGGCTCCTGTCTAAATTGGAACTAGTATGTGTATGTATGAATGTGAGTTAGGGACCTTAGATTGTACGCCCCTTGAGGGTTAGGGACTGATGTGAATGTACAATATATATGTAAAGCTCTGCGTAAATTGACGGTGCTATATAAGTACCTGAAATAAATAAATAATTGATCTACTGACCTCTCTACAGAATTTATGGCGCACTTGAACACTTGCTTACAGAGCCCATACACACTGTTAATTTTAAACTGGCTTATGCTGAGTGTCAAGATACAGAATTTTGGAGAATCAGAATTTTTGTAGAACACAGATGTCTGTTAAAAAAACCAATTAATGAATAATTCTTCAATTCCCCCTGAATATAATTATTATATGATAAAATTTATTCATCCACACTCTATTCATGGCCCTTTTACACACTCTGAATCAGTTGTTCCAGATGTACCATTTTCCATAACTAGGTCAGTTAAGCTAGAGGTAATTCTCTGCCTAAAAATACCTGCCATGATTTTCTTCACCTTTTTTTTATCTCTTTCTTAATCAATTTATAAAATAGTTAAATTTTAATCATAATACAGATTTGAAATAATATACATAAAATCATAATACAAAATATAATAAATTATGGATAATAATATATATCCAGCAGCTGCTGTTACTGAGGTTTTTCCGCACATTGATACAGAACTTTTAAACTTTGACCACCACAAATGACCTAAAAATTCAGACCAAACATGTTCTATCTCTAGTAGAATTCCCTATTCATGTTTAACCAATTCAATACCGGGCAATTTTACACCTTCCTGCCCAGGCCATTTTTCAGGTTTCGTCACTCTCACACTTTGAATGACAATTGCGCGGTTATACAACATTGTACCCAAACTAAAATTTTATCATTTTCTTCACACAACTAGAGCTTTCTTTTGGGGTATTTAATCACCGCCGGGGTTTTTATTTTTTGCTAAATTAACAAAAAAAGACCAAAAATTTTGAAAAAAAAAAACACATTTTTCTTTGTTTCTGTTATAAAAGTTTACAAATAAATAATTGTTCTTCATAAATTTAGGCCGAGATGTATTCTGCTACATGTCTTTGGTGAAAATAACCCAAATTAGGATGTATTATTTAGTTTGTAGGAAAGTTATAGAGTTCACAAACTATGGTATAGATCTGAATATTGCTCAATCCTGAAGTACTGACAGCCAATCTAATTTCTTGAGGTCCAAGAATGTCAGAATAGTACAGATATCCCCCAAATGACCCCTTTTTGCAGAGTAGACAGTCTGACGTACTTCATAAGAGGAATGGCGAGTTTTTTGAAGTTGTATTTTTTTTGTCATTATTTTTTGGAAAATTAAAAAATTAAAAAAGTTATTTTCACTATTTTTTTTTTTTTACATACTGTCACCAGTGCAGTACAGCATCATCATATAACTGGCCTGGCGGTGAACAGGGACACTGACTGGTGACAGTATGAAAAAAAAATATATATATATATATATTTTTTTTATTATTATTATTTTTAATTTTTTATTACATTTATTTTTATTTTTTTAAGATTTTTTTCATATTTTACTATGACCAAAGTAGTACAATGTTACCATAGTAACATTGTACTAGTTTGTGGAAGTGATCAGTATTTTTTTTTTTTTTTTACACAATTTTCTTATAGCAAAGAATTACTTTGCTATAAGCAAGCATTTACCTGAATGACATTGATTCATTAAGTTTTTTGTTTTTTTTTGTGCTTAGCTGTGATTTGGCTACAGCTAATTACATGATATGTGCATGTGACCTGCTGTGACCATTCACAGCTAGACACTAGTATACAATGGATGGCATGAATGAAGCCATCCATTGTATACAACTGTCATGTGACCTGCTGTGATTGATAATCCAGTATAATCCATCAATTGAGAGAGTACAAATTTGGCATTATGTTCAACCTGGATTTGTTTAGGTGATAAAGCCAACTACCATTGTGAAAATCTTTGATTGGAAACACATGGAATGTTTTTCTCAAGGAAAAATTTCAGGGTGGAATAAGGTGTATGTAAAATAATTTTGGTAAATCCTACAATGTGCTCAGTTGCCTTCAGTGCATAGTGAACTCCTACCAATTCTCAACAGGTGTTAATAGTTTAGAGAAATATGCCAGGATCCTCCAATTTCCTCCTTATAATTGAAGCAACACAGAAGAAATAGCAGTTTCAGATGTATGCACCTGTAAAGCAAATAGTGCTTGATGTTCTACTGTAGTTAGGGCTGGTGCTGTCTGCAAATCTTTTTTCAAAGATTCAAAGGCCTTTTGCTGAACTTCTGCCCAAGGACCAAAACCATTTTCCTCATTATTCTTTAGAAGTTCATATAGACATTATGCTTTATCAGCAAATTACTCAATTAACTCTCTGGAAAAATTCACTAATCCTAGGAATTGTCTTAGTGCTTTGAATGTTGTTGGTACGGGAAGTGCAGCAATAGCATTAACCCTTTCTTGCAGAGGTTGACGTTTGCTTGGACTGATCTGCATACCAAGAAACCTGACCTCACGTTTCATGAGCTGAAACTTACGAGTACTTAGCTTGAGGCCTGCATATTGCAGCAGATCAAACAATTCTGCTAAAAGGGTCAAATGCTCTAACTCACTTTCAGTTGACAACAAGATATCATCCACATACTGTATTGTAGAATACAATCTGGCCCAAAAAAATTTGCATAAGACTTTCTCTAAAGCTTGATGAAATATGCTTGGATTTAAATGGAGGATTGAAGGTATATTGATCATAGTTAAAGGTAAATGCAAACTTATATTGACAGCCTCTAGACAAAGAGATTGAGAAAAATCCATTGGCGATGTCAATCACAGAGAACACTTTTTGCTTTTGCATCAATTCGAGACATTATGTCAGGTGTATCTGCTGCTGTTCGGGGACAATATGGGGTATATTTATTCAGCATTCGGAGGTCTACCAGAAGCCTGAATGAATTAGGGTTGCCATGTTTAGATACTACCCATAACGGATTATTTGTTACAGAATTTGTTTTCCTGTTAATACCTTGTTGCAGAAGTTCCTGTACAATAACCAGTTCCATAGATTCTGGTGGCAATTCATATTGCTTCTGTGAGGGTGGATCCCTGCCTTGCACGTCTACTTCTATGTCTTTAAACAGATCTTCTTCATTTTTGCCTTGGCTCCATAGATCTTTGTATGATTTGACCACTAGTTCTAATTCTCGATTATCACCAATATCTGGCCATTTACGGTCTGCAGCAATCACTTCTGTTAAACAGATGCTGCCTACTTCACAGTAATCTGCTGGGTCAATTACCAAAGGCTTACAATTAAATCCAACAACTGTGCATACTGCTGCATCTGTCAAAAAAGATAATCTTACACCACTGAAGGAGATTTAAGCACCTGTATTGATTAGAAACTTAAGTTTTCGTCCATTCCAATTTGCTTTAATGTAAGGGCGTTCACATTTATCCAGACATATTGGTGTTACATGTTCTAGATAATGAGACTTTTTTCCCTCTTATTGCCTTCTATTCACAGGGTAGGCAATAATGGAGTTGATTTAACAGTGGCTGATTGCAAGTTCTTTTCAGTCATGCCACTGCTGACTGATAACTCTCTGATTTGTTTTATCACAGGAGCATAAGGAGAAGAAGATTGAGTTACTTTTGGACAAGGAGGAGTAGATAGTTCAAGAGAAATAAGTCCATTTTCTTTACCTAAATTTCTTGAATCCTTTATCTGCATCCTTTTTCTCCTTTCAGATTTTTGTACACAGTCATTTTAAATGTCCTGGTTTTTGACAGTAGTACAAAGTTATTGGCTCTCTCTGTCTCACTTGCTTGCACCTGTCATTTTTACTAAGAGCAGTCATTCCGGTCTTGGCTGTAGTCTGATGGTTCCCTTTTAAAGTGTCATTTTGAACTAGAGCTATCTTAGACTTAAACGATTCTAAGGGCTCGTTCACACTAGGCTGTTTTACCAACGCTTGCCAAACGCCCCTATAGCATTTGGCAAGTGTTGGTCCGGCGTTTGCGGAGTGTTTTTTAATGCTTGGCAAACGCTCTGCAAACGCTGCATGCGCGGTTTAGTGGCGGTTGCTAGGCATTTGCCGAGCGTTAAAAAAACCCCATAAACGCCTATAATGCAGTTTGAATGGTGTTACCGCTCCGCAAACGCCCTGCAACCGCGTCGCAACCGCAAACGCCGACCGGGCGTTTGCGGAGCGGCACCATAGACTAGAATAGGAGGCTTCAATGCCTCCTGACTCGACCAGAGGCGTCCGTTTTGCTGCGACGCAACGCTCCCATTAGAACAGCACCATGTGCTGTAATGTGCAGAATTGGCAGAGGTGTTTGGGAAACGGTAAAAACGCTTCCCAAACGCCTCTCTGCCGCCTGCACACAACGCTAGTGTGAACGTAGCCTAAAGGTTAATTTTTTTTTTTTTTGTAAAATAACAAACATGTCTATATTTACCTGCTATGTGCCGTGGTTTTGCACAGAGCAGGCTGGATCTTCCTCTTCTTGGGTCCCCCGCAAGCTTTCCTGGCTCCTGTCTGCCGGGTGCCCCCTACAGCAAGCAGCTTACAATGGGAGCACTCGCTGCCGAAGCTGTCATTCACATCGCTGGATTGCGATGAGGCTCAGGTAAGTATTGAGAGGGCTGGGGGGGGATGCTGCACACAGTAGGTTTTGTACCTTCATGCATAGAATGTATGAAGGTAAAAAAACTCGAGCCTTTAGAACCACTTTAAGGTTGCTTTATAAATGAACTTTATCAATGAACATGCAAGCTTCTGACATAGAATTTTTCTCTTGTACCATTGCACCACAGCTAATGAAGTTGGGTCAAGATATTAACATTTTTTTACAAAAGCTTTTATCATACCTGTATTGTGTTCAATGTCTACACCCAAAACCATTTTGTATGCCTTTAAGAATTAAATTATAAATTCAAAAGGGTCCTCTCTAACTGAAGTCTGTAATGAATCAAGGGTTTCTATTGAAGAAGCATCTTCACCTGTCGTTCATAGCAGCAATTGTTGTAATGTGTCTGATGTGTCACTATGTCTCTCATTTCCTTCGCTATCAATAACAGGTGACTTTGTAAGTCGCATAGAAAGCCAAAGAAAATAGAAATGATTATGCTGTTTGTCTCTAAGATTATATCTAGAGATGAGCGAATTATTCAAAAATTCGGTTCGGCTGATTCGCCGAATTCGCCGAATAAATTCGCTTCGAGCCGAATATATTCGCTGCGAATTTAACTTATAAAAAGGGTGTTTCTAGGCTTCAGAGAGCCTTTATATTAGTGCAGAACACTGTACCTTTAATTTAAATGCCCTTGGAGTCTGCTGGGGAAGAGAAATAATACTGTCAGTCAGTATGACATGCAGATGAGTGCCGTCGATCTTAGAATCACCGCACACTTCACTCATTTGGGCAGTCACGGGGCCAAAACCAGAGTGTGGAGCCACAGTGTGGCGGTGGAGGCAGCAGCAATGGGAGGCCATACAGCACCCTATGACAAAATGGAACCCACCAGCAGTGTGAGGAGACCTGAAAGTGGCACATGGCAGAGTGTGGCGATGGAGACAGCAGCAATGGGAGGCCGTACAGGGACCCATGACACACTCTGGACCTGGCAGCAGCATGAGGAGGCGGTACAGGGGCCCATGACAGATTACGGGCCTGGCAGCAGCATGAGGAGTCGGTACGGGGGCCCATGGCAGATTACGGGCCTGGCAGCAGCATGAGGAGGCGGTACAGGGGCCCATGGCAGAGTGGCGGAGCGTAAGCAGCTAAAATTGAAGGCCATACAGAGGCCTATGTTAAAAAGTCCCCCCAGCAGCAGCGTGGGGAGACGACTATCAAGAGTCCAATGGCAGAGTGGCGGAGCAGAAGCAGCTTCAATTGAAGGCCATACACAGGCCTAGGTTTAAAAGTCCCTCACAGTTAATTCCAATAACGAACTCTACTCCTCCGTGCAATCTACTTACGAGACCCTGGGCAGGTCTGGGTCCAATTTGTGGTAGAGACTGGTTTTGTTCAGCCATGCTTGAGCGAGTAATAACAGGTCTGTGCTGCCCTTTGGTGTCTGGCTTAATGCGCGCACAACACTGAACGTCCCAGCATTTGTCAACGATTTGCCGTTAAGTGATGCAAACCCGCTGAACCACGTTCATGAGGAGCCGGTACAGGGGGCCATGAATCAGTATGGACCTGGCAGCAGCGTGAGCAGACGACAGAGGCACATGGCGCAGGGTGGCGGTGTAGGCAGCATTATTCTGAAGCCATACACAGGCCTAGGTTAAAAAGCGGAAGCCGTCAGCAGCGTGAGCAGACGACAGAGACACATGGCGCAGGGTGGCGGTGGATGCAGCAGTATTCGGAAGCCAAACACAGGCCTCGGTTAAAAAGCGGAAGCCGTCAGCAGCGTGAGCAGACGACAGAGGCACATGGCGCAGGGTGGCGGTGGAGGCAGCAGCAATGGAAAGGCCATACAGCACCCTATCACAAAATGGAACCCACCAACAGTGTAAGGAGACCTGAAAGTGGCACATGGCAGAGTCTGGCGATGAAGTCAGCAGCAATGGGAGGCCGTACAGGGACCCATGACACACTCTGGACCTGGCAGCAGCAAGAGGAGGCGGTACAGGGGCCCATGGCAGAGTGGCGAAGCAGAAGCAGCTTCAATTGAAGGCCATACACAGGCCTAGGTTAAAAAGTCCCCCCAGCAGCAGCGTGGGGAGACACGACTATCAAGAGTCCAATGGCAGAGTGGCGGAGCGGAAGCAGCTTCAATTGAAGGCCATACACAGGCCTAGGTTAAAAAGTCCCCCCAGCAGCAGTGTGGGGAGACGACTATCAAGAGTCCAATGGCTGAGTGGCGATCCGGGAAGTCAGCGTTGTGATTGCAGATGCAATGCAGAAATTTTATGAGGTAATGCCGTGGGTGCGAAGAAGATCATATACCGTCGTACTTCCATCCATAAGACGGAACAACCTGCGAACCGGGAGCTTTATTGCCCTGACCCGCTGAGCAGCTTCTGGGATACCCAAGAGTTTGGCTTCTGTGGGGAATATGGTTGAAAACTGAAACTTAAAGGCATGTTGACGGAAGGGCACCAGTGTCAGTGCTCCGGAGGGAATATAGCTTCAAAGCTGACACTTAAAGGTATATCGACGGTCAGAGACCACAGGAAGTGGAGCTTGCGTCTTAAATCGACTGAATGTGGCAGACGTGAAACGTCTACGGGCCGTATATGAAACGGGTTGTTCCTCTTTCTGGAATAAGTGTTGGAAATGGCCACTCTTTTTGGTGTGGCGTTTTGTCTATTTAATTCCGATAACGGACTCTACTCCTCCGTGCAATCTAGTTACGAGACCCTGGGCAGGTCTGGGTCCAATTTGTGGTAGAGACTGTGTATATTGTGAATCCTTGTGAGCTATTATAAATGAAGCGTTCAGTGGGTGTTAAACAATTATTTACTTTTCTTTAGTGTTTGGTGCGCTGGCACTTACACAAACTCACTTGGTAGTGTCAGATCAGTATATAAGGTATTTATAGTGCCGCGCTCCTATTTATATACATATATATCTCTATATCCAATCTGTACTCATTCTATTCTACTTAATTAATAACTATATAAATCCAATGTAAATCATAATGATAAGTGATATTCCATAAATTAATATGATTGAATAATTATCAATATATTGCCAATACACATATAGACAACCTAAATTCATGTGATAAATAATAATCAATATATAGGACCTTGATATAATGTGAATGATAAATAATAAATAAAATATAAATATAAATATAATTAGTGCCACTCTAATTATATGTGATCAATCCAGCAATATTTGTGCAATAATGTATTCCAATGTGCACGTGCACATATAAAGGACTTTATATAATTTTTTATTTTATGCACGTGCACATTGGAATACATTATTGCACAAATATTGCTGGATTGATCACATATAATTAGAGTGGCACTAATTATATTTATATTTTATTTATTATTTATCATTCACATTATATCAAGGTCCTATATTGATTATTATTTATCACATGAATTTAGGTTGTCTATATGTGTATTGGCAATATATTGATAATTATTCAATCATATTAATTTATGGAATATCACTTATCATTATGATTTACATTGGATTTATATAGAGTTATTAATTAAGTAGATGAGTACAGATTGGATATAGAGATATAATATGTATATAAACAGGAGCGCGGCACTATAAATACCTTATATATTGTGGTAGAGACTGGTTTTGTTCAGCCATGCTTGAGCGAGTAATAACAGGTCTGTGCTGCCCTTTGGTGTCTGGCTTAATGCGCACAACACTGAACGTCCCAGCATTTGTCAACGATTTGCCGTTAAGTGATGCAAACCCGCTGAACCACGTTCATGAGGAGCTGGTACAGGGGGCCATGAATCAGTATGGACCTGGCAGCAGTGTGAGGAGACCCGAAAGTGGCACATGGCGCAGGGTGGCGGTGGAGGCAGCAGTATTCGGAAGACATACACAGGACTAGTTTAAAAAGCGGAAGCCGTCAGCAGCGTGAGCAGACGACAGAGGCACATGGCGCAGGGTGGCGGTGGAGGCAGCAGTATTCGGAAGCCATACACAGGCCTAGGTTTAAAACTGGAACCCAGCAGCGTGAGCAGACGACAAAGACGCACATGGCAGAGGATGGATCTGGCAGCAGTATGAGAAGGCGGTACAGGGGGCCCGTGGCACAGTGTGGTGATGGGGGCTTCAGCAACTGGATGCCAGAAAGTGGCCGATAGGGCTATATACTGCATGGAATTATAAAGTTGTAAAGACAGCGGCCTATAAGGCTATACACACTATAACAATCATGACTTGATTGACCATTGGCCTATAAGGCTATACACAGCATGAATATCATGACTTATTCTGAGAGTGGTTTGGAAGGCTATATACAAAAAGTAATTCATGAGCTGTCCGGACAGCGGACAATAAGTACATATATACAAATCAATTCATCAGCTGTCCAGCCAGCGGCCTCAAAGGCGACACATATAGAAAGCAATTCATGAGCTGTTCAGACAGCGGCCTCTAAGGCGACAGATATACAAAGCAATTCCCGAGGTGTTCAGGGAGCGGCCTGAACGGCTAGGTTATTACTAAATATATTTTTTGTGGCCAAACATCGGCCTATAAATAGATGTCTACACAGTGACAAAAAATTATGTCGCCAGACAGCGGCCCCTAAGGCGACAGATATACAAAGCAAATTCCGAGGTGTTCAGTGAGCGGCTTGAACGGCTAGGTTATTACTAAATATATCTTTCTGGCCAAACATCGGCCTATAAATAGATGTCTACACAGTGACAAAAAAGTAGGTCGCCTTACAGCAGCGTATCCTACAAATTGACATTATAAGAAATGGTTTAGACCAAAAAAAAAAAAAAAAAACTTTGATGCGATGCTATACCTTAGTAGATTGTGGAAAGTCGACAAGTCAAGCGTAACTGTGTACATTACAGAAAATCTTAACAAGACAACCAAACATGTGGCCAAACCGTGACCGATACAACAAGTTAACAATGTAAGAAACAGGAGGGGGCCAAACCGTGGCCAATAAATATAAACAGTCCACCTCATGATGAGATGGACAACACGTGTCAAATAAATATTTTAAAAAATTGCTATTCCATCGGTCTGGAACTGGTCGACTATAAATAATTAAAAAGTTTAAATTCATGTGACAGTCGTCCAGCGACGTATAAATAATTTAAAAACACCAATTCATGAGGGGCCCGACCAGCAGAGTATAAGTCATTAAAAAGGTTCAATTCATGTGACGGTCGTCCAGCGAAGTATAAATAATAATTTAAAAACCCCCAATTCATGAGGGGCCCGACCTGCAGAGTATAAGTCATTAAAAATGTGCAAAAACATGAGTCGGCCCGACCAGCAGCCTCTCAATAAAAATATATATACACAAATGTACGGATCAGGTGGAGGTCTTCCATTTGTCCCTAATAACATGTTTGGGGCATGATTCATGGCGGATTTAGTCAGTTGTGTCAGGAACTGGTGGTTTGAAATCCAGACTAATCCACGCCTGATTCATTTTCACAAACGTGAGTCTCTCCACACTTTGGGTGGACAGTCGTGTCCTCCGCGGAGTTACAATACCTCCTGCCGCACTAAACTAAACACGCGCTCCGATGCCACGCTACTGGCCGGGCATGACAGCCTTTCAAGGGCAAATTCAGCTAGTTGGGGCCAAAGGTCAAGTTTCGTTGCCCAGTAGTCAAGGGGATTGTCTACCTCGGTTGGCAGGGTGCTGTCCAAGTAGGCCCAAGCCTGTTGTTTGAGGTCCTGCTCCAGGTCCACCTGATGCTGCTGCTGCTGCGGCTGGTTAGTAGTTTCCTCACTGCGCTGGTGAAGAAAGCTACTCATCATCGACTGCAGACTGAGGCAGCCGCTGCTGGTGGAGCTGCCACTGCTCCTACCACCCCACCCCTCCCCTGCTGCCATGGCAGCGGAACGCGAGCGCACAGGGCCCACAGTGTCTGAGGATGGACGTTGGCGCAGAAAGGCAGAGACCAACTGACTACATAGGTGGTTTTTATAGTACTTTATTTTGGCCTCCCTCCCTCTCAGCAGGTGTGAAAAAGGCCACCATTTTTGAACGGTAGAGCGAGGGTCCAACAAGGTGGACAGCCAAAAGTCATCCCTCTGTCTGATGGTTATTATTCGGCTGTCGCTACGCAAGCAACCGAGCATGCTATGGGCCATTTGTGCCAAGGAATGCGAGGGACTCCCTGCCTCCATCTCCACAGCATACTGCCACGGTGCGTCTGGGTCCTCTGTCTCCTCCTCCTCCTCCTCCTCTACCAGATGCTCCTGCTCCTCCACTCCTGTCCGCTGAGTGGAAAAACCACCCATTTCACTCAATAATTCCTGAGCACCAATGTCCTCCTCTACCTCCTCCTCTTCTTCCTGTCCTGCCCCCACAGGGGTCATGTGGCGTTGAGATCTGTGCGCCACGTCTACCGCACCCTGACCAGCCATTGTTAACAGCATTTTTTCCAGGACGTGCAACAGAGGAATGACGTCGTTCATCCCATAGTCCTGCCGACTCACGAATAGCGTGGCCTCCTCAAAGGGCCTGAGCAAGCGGCAGGTGTCACGCATGAGCTGCCAATGGCTGACATCTAAGTTACACAGGGGAGTACCTTTATCCGCTTGTAACATCAGGAAATCGGTGATGGCCTTTCGCTGTTCGTAAAGGCGGTCTAACATATGTAGGGTTGAATTCCACCTTGTTGCAACGTCGCAGATCAGGCGATGCTGTGGAATTCCGTTCTGCCGCTGCAGCTCAAGGAGGGTGTGCTTTGCGGTGTAGGAATGGCTGAAATGCATGCAAAGTTTACGTGACATTTTAAGGATGTCTTGCAGTGGGATGTGGATGGATTTTAGGAACCGCTTTGACAACCAGATTGAACACGTGAGCCATGCATGGCGCATGGCACAACCTTCCTTGACGCAGAGCAGACACCATGTTCTTTCCGTTGTCGGTCAACATGGTTCCGATTTTCAGTTTGCGCGGAGACAGCCATCTGTCGATTTCTCTGTTCATTACACTCAGAAGTTCCTCCCCTGTGTGACTACGTTCGCCAAGGCATACCAGGTGCAGCACAGCGTGACACCGTTGCGCCCTGCACATGTGATATGCCGGTCGGGTAATGGGACTTGGCACGGGGGTGGCGGCTGAGGACACGGCGGAAGAAGAGGTGGTAGAGGCGGACATCTTTGCTGGACCAAGGACGTGCAAACGTGGAGGCAAAAGCGGCGTGACCTGTCCAAGTTGCTGGTGCGGCTGTGCCGGCACCACGTTCACCCAGTGGGCCGTAAATGACATGTACTGTCCCTGACCGTAGTTACAGCTCCACACGTCGGCGCTGCCGTGCACTTTGGCAGAGAGACCGACATGCTCAAAGACTGGCCCACCATCTCTTCTACATGTGAATGCAGGGCTGGCACTGCCTTTTTGGCGAAGAAATGCCGGCTTGGCACTCTCCACCGCGGCGCGGCACACAAGCCATCATTTCTCGGAAAGGTGCTGAGTCCACCACTTGGAAAGGGAGGGACTGCAGCACCAGCAACTTGGACAGGAGGACGTTCAGCTTCTGCACCGTCGGGTGCGTGCTCGCAAACTGTTGTCTCTTGGAAACGGATTCCAAGAAAGACTGCTGACGGAATCCGTGAAGAGGAGTAGCAGGAGAAGGAGCATCTGAACGAGCGGAAGATGCCAACGAGCGACAACTCCCCTCAGCAGAGGTGTTGGAGCCTTGACTGGCTGATAGAGGGCGATTGACGTCGGGTGACGGAGCAAGTAACGGAGCGGGTGATGGAGCGGGGGCTGGGGCAGGCAGAACCGCCATATCTTTATCACGGTTTTCCCAGGCCACCGAATGGCGACGCTGCATATGCTGACGCAACGCTGTAGTCCCAACATTGGCCCCCTGGCCACGCTTGACTTTCTGGCCACATAGTCGACATACGGCTACGTTTACTTCCTCGGGCGGCTTGACGAAAAATTGCCACACACCGCCGAGTAGGAAACTTTGCCCCCGCTACTCCTCACTGGCTGACTGCTACTTCCTCCGTGCACACCGGCACCACTACTGGCCGTGGTGGTAGGCTGCAGTGGAGCTGGTGCTCTACTCCGTGGCCGTTGGCTCCACTGACACTGCTGCGACCCTGCTGCCTCCTGGGCAACCCACCGACTTGACTGTTTTGCTCGCTGGCAAGCTGGCACCCTCTTCTCCTGATGATGCGGAAGCAATAGCCTGATGACGACGAGGCTGCCAAGTGCGATCAGCCTCATCATCATCAATTAGGGTCTCCGCGTCACTACTAGCCCCCTCGGCTGCGCGTGGGTCAGGAGACAGACCTGTCTCTAGACCGGCTACCGAGCCACTCTCCTCGCCAGTACTTTCTTCGCCTGGCTGCTGAAGAGGCGGATGTCTCCCCCCGTTCCTGACCGCCCTCTGTTTAGCTCTTCCTCACTGTACAGTGGGGCTGAGCCCACAGAAATGCGATACTTCGCTTGGTGAGGGAACACCAAAGGACAGGGGCAGGTCGAGGACACGTGATTTCAGTGGGCTTGCTCCCGGGCCATGCCAACTAACGGTTGTGTCTGACGTACCCACCGACCGTTGGCTGTAGGTGTCAGAGGTGACCTGGGAAGAGGAAGACGACCGAGTCAACCAATCGATGACGGCAGGGTTGTCGGTGGAGACACGACCGCTGGATGACACCGGGAGCACTGGCCTCTGGCTGCGACTAGTGCTGCCTCGACCCCTTCCTCTGCTGCCACGTCTGCTCGCTCCTGAAACATTGCCTCCTCTGCCACTCCTCTGCGTGTTGTCTGACATACTCTTTAATTCAATAAGCACCCCAAAAATAAAATCCGGATTTAACTCTTTGAGCGTACAATAGTGGTTGTGAAGCAGAAAGTCAGTTTATTGTACACAATTGGTCAATTGCAGTTTGCTTTTGGCTGGAAACTGTACGTTTCTGTCACTGGAATGCACTAATCACCCAAAAAAATATTACCGCCAGCCGGCGTGTAAAATGGATTTAAACTCTCTTTGAACGTACAATAGTGGTTGTGAAGCAGAAAGTCAGTTTATTTAGCAC